ACCACGGGGTAAGCCAGAATACCACTGCAAACACTTGAAACTGAGTTGACCTCTGAACCTAAGCCCACACAATTGAGCCAGGATGTACATTCCAAAGGTAGCAGGTTGACTGACTGCCTGACAAAAAATACAATACTTAAATAGGAAATGAAGTCTCGTGACATAATACCCAACACATCCAGGACTGATCCAAATTTACTCATCATCCCCAAACCCAGAAGTATCTCAACTTGAATAAGAAAAGAGAATCAACAGATACAAGTGTCAGGGTAACACAGATGTGACAATGAATCGGCAAAGATTTTAAAGCAGTGATCACAAAAATGCCCCAACAAGGAATTACACCCCTCAAATACATAGAAAAATAGAAAATCTCAGCAAATACAAAATATAAGGAAGAACCAATGAAAATTTTAAAACTGAAAAATACAATAACCAAAATTGTAAAACTTGCTGGATGGGAAAATGGCAGAGGAACCAGTGAATAAAATTAACTGTATTTCAGTGGAAATCATCTAATTTAAATAAACTACAGTAAGAAGATAGATTGAAAAATTGAACAGAGTGTCAGGGTTGTGCACCAACAATAAAAGAGTTAACATGCATATCGTGGTAGTTCCAGAAGAAGGAGAGAAAGGTTGTAGGGTGAAAAAAATATTTGGAGAAATAATAGGTTTCTCCAAATAATAGGAAAATGTACAAAACTTGGTTGAAGATGTAAACCCACAAATTCAAGAAGTTGAGAGAATCCTCGGTAGGAAAAATCCAAAGGACCTAAATGTGTTTTAATCCACTGCCTTTAAAAACAAAAACAAAAAAATGAAAGCAGCCAGAAAGAAAGGAAACGCGACTTGCAGGAGAACAATGATTCAAATAAGTCTGGATAAATCATGAAAAGCCATGCCGATGGCGGCACAATATGCTTCAAGTGTGAAAAGAAATGTCAACTCAAAATTCCATATTCATCAAAAATATTTCTTAGGAACGAAAGTAAAATAAACACACTCCCAGATGAAAGAAAACTAGGAGAATCCATAGCACAGACTTGCTTTAGAAGAATTGCGATAGGAGGGAGCGCCTCGGTGGCTCAGTCGGTTAAGCTTGCGACGTCGGCTCGGGTCACGATCTCGTGGTTCGTAGGTTCGAGCCCCGCGTCGGGCTCTGTGCTGGAGCCTGCTTCAGATTCTGTCTCTCCCTCTCTCCCCACCCCTCCCCCACTCGCGTTCTGTCTCTCAAAAATAAATAAACATTAAAAAAATTTTTTTAATTTTCAAAATCATGTATTGTCATACAAAGCAATAAGTTGTAACATTGTCCAGTATTGTTCTGAATGTGTGTAGGGCAATATTTACGAAAATTATGAAAAGGAAGGTGGGTAGGAGAGCCTAAATAGTGGTCACTTTCTAAATTCATTGAAAGTAGTAAAATACTGATATCAAGACACTGTAATACATTAAGATTTTAAATTTCTAGACTGCACACATATGCACACACATCTCACACACACACTATACAAAAATAAATACTCAAAACTATCAATGAATAATAAGAGAATCCTAAAAGATCCCCAAGTGATCCACAGGAAGTCAGAAAAAGATAAACAGAGTAAAGAAAAACAAACAAACAAAAAAAAAACAGAAAAAAATAATAAAATGTGCAACCTAAAAACTAGCATAGCAACAATCACATTAAAGGTAAACGTTCTAAACATCTCGATTAGAAGCAGAATGGGGTTTTTTTTGTTATTTTTTGTTTGTTTGTTTGTTTGTTTTTTAAATGAGCCCCATGCCCAATGTGGGGCTTGAACTCACAACCTTGAGATAAAGAGTCACATGCTCTACTGACTGAACCATCCGGGTGGCCCCAGAAGGGACTTTCTAAAAAAGACTTGAGCTAACTATATGGTGTCTTCAGGAAACTCACTTCAAATATAGTTATTTGAAAGAAATAACCATTAACCAAGGGGGTCTAATTAACATTTATAAAATGATTTCCCCAACATTGGCAGAGTACATATTCTTTTTAAGCACACATGGAACATCCATTTAAATGGACCATACTCGGGCTCATAAAACAAAATTTAACAAATCAATGTTCTCTGACCATAATGGAATTAAAGTAGAAACGAACAGCAGAAAGATCATTTCCTTACTTTAAAAAAGGAAAATCTCCAAACTTTAAAGATTAAATAACGTACTTCTAAATAATCCAAAGAGAAAATCTCATGGGACATTGGAAAACGCATTGAACTGAATGAAAATAAAATTACAACATGAAAAATCTGTGGGATGCAGCCAAAGCAGCACATCTGGGGAAATTTATAGCACTAAATACTCCTATTATATAAATACTTCTATTAGTAACACAAAATACTTCTATTATATAAACACTTCTATAAATACTTCTATTATATAAATACTTCTATTAGTAACACTAAATACTTCTTTTTTTTTTTTTAGTAGGCTCCACATCCAGCATGGAGCCCCATGTAGGGCTTGAGCTCACAACCCTGAGATCAAGCCCTGAGCTGAGATCAAGAGTGAGACGCTCAACCAACTAAGCCACCCAGGTGCCCCAGAAATACTAAATAAATACTTCCATTAGGGAAGAAAAAAGCACGTTAGAAAATTAACGATCTAAGCGTTCACTTCAACAAACCATAAAAGGAACAAAATAAACCCAAAGCAAGCAGATGGAAGTAAATAACAAAGAGCAGAAATTAATGAAATTGAAAACAGAAAAATAATAGATAAAATTCACTCAAAAGCTGCTTTTTGAAATAATCAATAAAATCGATTAACCTCTAGCAAGAATGACAAATTAAAAAGGAGAAGACCGCAAAATTACGCATGTTAGGAATGAAAAGGACGTGTCACTAAGATTCCACAGACATTAAAAGGATAAGGAAACTATGGACAACTCTACACGCCTAAGCTTAGTAACTTAGACGAGATCGACCAAGTCCTCAAAAATCACACATACTAACGCTCACCCGAGATTAAACCATGAGAAGAGTCCCGTAACTATTCAATAAGTTGAATTAGTAATTTAAAACCTACAAAAAGAAATCAGTAGGCCCAAAGAGTTTCACTGGTGAGTTCTTCCACACGTTTTAATAAGAAGTGCATGTTTAACAACTGAGGAATCCAAATAAGGTCTGCAATGTGGTCGAGAGTATCATTTCAACGCAATTTTGTTTTTCGGTTTTTTAAATCTAAAAGCAAAGGCTCTCGGAGTCTGAGGAAGCCAACTCACTGGAGGCAACACTGCCTGCCAGCAGAGCGTGCCAGCCACGCTTCCTGTGAACAGGAAGTCACAAGCTAGGACACTTAGGGCTAACCCTGTCTTCCGCACAAGGCCTTGCTTTCTTCCAATTGCAGGGAATCTCGGGACTTTCATGACTCCATGAACCAAAGGCTAACTGGGGAGTTTCAGCCGTACTTTGTTATCTACTTAGCGCAGTGCTCAGGCATGTAGAGAGAACGCCCTTGACCTACCGCCCCTGCCTGACCATGGGCGTGACCATTAGTGCAAAGCCTTGTAGGACCCCGAGACGGCATGACCCGCTTGGCTGGAGGGGCCCACGCTGAGGGGCTGACCGAGGCCCCCGGAGCTAAGAACTCTTGAGGCTCCCTGTTTCGAAGCATACGGTGAATGCCGTAGGGCTTCCTATCATTAATTTCCCCATTTCAACATCAGTTTCCCCTTCTCTGACCTCGGTAGCCCCTTCCTCAGTTTCCCCTTCCTGACATCAGTGTCCACTTTCCCGACATCAGTTTTTCCTTCCCCCTTCCCCGTCTCCATTCCACGCAAGAGCATAACTTTGCCACATTCGTGCTCGGCAGGGAGCGTGGTCTCGTCCTCAACCCCTCGCCTTTGGTCCTGCAGCCGGGAACTGTACCACTCTTTGTGTGTAGGGTCACTCCTCCCCTGTCCCTGTGGTCCCTCGCCAAGTTCCCCACAGTGACTTCCACGTCCCACCTAGCAGCGTGGGCCCGAGAACACCTTGAGCAGGTAGTATCTGCTGTACCTCTGAACCTCTATCCCCGACTGTCCTCTGAACTTTTGCTCCCTTGTCCCTGGCCCTCCTCCATCCCTGTCTCTTCCCACAATGCTTGGATACTAGAAGGAGTGCTTTGCTCGCTTTCCTGTGACGACCCTCAAAGGTTCAACTGATGCTGGCTTACATGCGCAACCAGTCTTCCCAGCTCGTGGACACAGGCCTGTTTCAAAGCAGACGCACCTGAGCTCAAACCCCTGTCTTACCACTCACTTTGCACCTTTGGGAGAACCTCTTAACCTCTTTTCCCAAAGGTACAATCGGGGTGGCAATACCACCTGTGTTAGCGGAAGCTTAGATCGCGAATTTTCTAACTTGCTTTTTTTCTTTTTAATAGAGGTATTTTTTTAGTATATCTGGGGCGCCTGCGTGCCTCAGTCAGTGAAGTGTCTAATTCTTGATCTCAGCTCAGGTCTTGATCTCAGGGTCATGAGTTCGAGCCCTGAATTGTACTGTGTAGACAGCTGGAAGCCAGTGGCTCACTGGTCTAGCTCCTTCTCCTGCCCCCTTTGAACACAGAAACTTTACGATCTAAAGTATCTCCACACAGGAGGGAATTTAGTGCTGGAAGCTAGTGCTGGATGCTTAGTGCTGGACGGTTAGTGCTGGAACTTAGTGCTGGAAGGTTAGTGCTGGAACTTAGTGCTGGAAGGTTAGTGCTGGAAGGTTAATGCTGGAGCTTAGTGCTGGAACTTAGTGCTGGCAGTTAGTGCTGGAATGGGTACATACAGTGTTTGGTTCCCCTCGTGTCTCACCGTGTAGACGCTCACCTACTGGAACCACTAAAGACCGCAAGCCAGGATAACCACAGGATGTGGCGTTCAAACCGGGGCCCCCTTGAGGGTGGGAGAAGTATCATCAGTCAGCACGTAGGACGACGGGCGCGAACTACGACCGTCCGGATGAACCCAGACAGACTCGGCTCCAACTTGTAGGAACCATCCTAACAAAGGCTGCCTGTCAACCCCAGCCTCCCTCTCGTCTTGGAAAAGCTCAGTTCGTGCTCCAGCTTTGGGAGACCAGAGATGAATTCTCCACGCACGAGACGCTCACGTCTACACAGCCGGGACCGTCAGCACCCATAGAAGGAAGAGCAGTTTCCAAATCTTCCGAGCCGATAAACAGCCCACCGGGTATGAAAACAAAGTGGCCAACAGGTTGGATCACTCAGGACTCCGCGTAGCTGACGTCCTGGGCCACGGCCAGGCAGAGAGGCACCCGCCCCCCTTCCTCCTTACATCACAGCGGGATGAGCCTAATAAGCGTTCGAGAATAATTAGCGGATGACACACACTGCCCCCAAGGGATGAGGGGGTAACAGCAGAACAACAAAGCTCAGGAGGCTTTCGAAACGTCGGTGGCTTTATAAGCTTCACGAGGTAGACAGGCCGGGCCAGAACCACTCTGTGGGGCTGGTGCCCGGGCCTGCGCCACCTCTCTGATGCCGGAGCCAACGGTGCGAGGGCACACGGCTCGGGGAGGGCAGATCGTTATCTCTTCTCTCAGCGAGAGCCGGGTGCTGCCCCCTCGGGAGCACAATTAATTAGGAATGGAGAGAAAAGTCTGCAGGTAATGAGAGAATCCTTCTCCCCCTGTCCGTTGCGGCCTGTCCCCCCACTAACGAGGCGGCAGCCACAGCATCCACACGGTCAGGCCACTTCTGGCATTTCCTCTCCGGGCCCCCTTCCCCTCCTCAGACAGACCCGTGGGGGTCCCGGTGCCCATGGTGCCACGGGTAGGGAGTGAGGGCGTCCGATCAGTAGATCAGTAGCTGTTCATGCTTACAGATTCCCGGAGGGCATTACCAGGGATGGGGCTGATGGGCAACCCACCTTGTGGAACCACGAGGGTGGCGGGCCAGCAGCAAGGGTCCTAGGAGCGGTGCTTTGGAAGCCACCGTCTAAGGGACACGAGGTAGTGCGGACACAGACATTTCTGCACGTGCTGTGGAAAAGCAGAGGAGCCCAGAGAAGCCCTTCCTAGTGACAGCTTTCTTTAAAAATTTGTGTTTAATGTTCATTTTTGACAGACAGAGAGAGAGACGGAGTGTGAGCGGGGCAGGGGCAGAGAGAGGAAGAGACACAGAATCCGAAGCAGCCTCCAGGCTCTGAGCTGTCAGCACGGGGCCCCACAGGGGCTCGCACTCATGAACCACGAGATCATGACCTGAGTTGAAGTCAGATACTTAACGGACTGAGCCACCCGGGCGCCCTGTTGGCGAAAGCTTTCTAACACTGCCCCTCTGGTCACAGGCAGATTCCCGGGGCCGCCGAAGCCAGTCTCCAACCCTCTGTGATACAAACAAATGCCTTAAAAGAATCAAGGTCATAAGGGAAGAGGAAGGCAAGGAACATAAGCAGGTGAGCAGGAACCATAAGGAAACACCACCAACGTCTGATGTGGGGCCTCTGTCCCGGGGGGCTCACAGGTGGCCCTCGATGCCCACTGCCACGCCAGTGGAACCTGACGGTCTGAGTTTAGCAGACGTACAGTGAGAGGTTTATTGTCTTACTCGGACAAAAGGTTCTCCGTGGATGTTCCAAATAGACCAGAAGGGCCCGACGTAGCGGTTAGGTCCCTCAGTGTCACAGGTGCCTCTATAATTTAATTCCTGCGCACTCAGTGAATATTCATGCGGAGCAGATGAGAACTGTTGGGCTCTAGGAAGCCTACACTATACCTCTTTGTCAACAGAGACAGGCGTGCACGTCGGCCGAGTTTATATACCTGGGTCAGTGCATGTTAACCGAGACCCCTGCCTCGACTGCGCGGAGCAGAGCAAACCAGCCACGTGGTGACCCTGATGTCAGCCCGGGCACACCTGTCTGCTGTACTCAGAGGGCAGAAAACGAGGCGTGGCGCACACAGGGCCCCGTGCAAACTAGGTGACCTGCCATCTTATGCCACCTTGGGGGATAAAGCCTGCACCCAATCGACCTCACCCTGCCGCTTTGCGCTAACGGCGGCCGAAGAGCAAACTGGGCAAGACCGAATGGGTCCGAGACACGTACGCAAGTCTCCATACATCTGTTCCGCACATTTAGACGGTTACGGCGTACCCCTCGAAATTAGCTCTTGAATGCTCTAGACCCCAAAGCTGTATCTCCATCTGGGCCACGATACTCAAGTCTACTGATTTTGTGCCAGCGGGTGTAGTCCCTGCAGGGCCCAGAGAATCAATCGCTCAACCCCAACTGGAACCGCTGTCCTTGATGTGGACCAGCCTTAGAAGTTACTACATCTGTTAGCAATTTATTTGGAAAACAGGAAAACCTCAACTAAAGCCGTGTTTGTTAATTGCTGTATCAATCATTATTTCTGCAGGACGGTTTCTGTGTAGGCTAACCAGCCCCAAGGGACAATTTTGCAGATTTTCCAACAGAACAAACGCTCTAAATTAGTGAAATGCTTTAATGTAATAATGTAATGTAATAATTGTACAAACCATCAAATACCTTATCCCCACACTTTGGACAAATATAATGACTGCTTACAAATTATGATCATGTATGCTGCCATATATTATATATTATATTTACATATAGTGTGTATGGTATATTCTATGTTGGTACGTCACATTATATATTATGTAGTATGTTATATATTAAATACTATATTGTATGTTACTGGATTGGGCAAATTTTACCTTAAGGGGAGAGATCGTAAAAAGTTTAGGCTTGTGGGACACAGGGACGGTGTTGTCACTACTCACTTCTGCCGTTGTAGCGAAAGGAGCCATAGGCAATCTGTAAATGAATGCATGTGGCCACGTCCAAATAAAAACAAATCTGTTTGACACAATAGGTGGCTAGCCCATGATCGTGGTTTGCCAATCTCGGATGCATTTCGTGTCACATATCACACTTCCTTATACACTGGATGCTGTAAACTATGAATGCATACTATATATTAGAAACATTTCATATACATGGATTGAATGACCCAGAGGGGGTGCTCAGTTTTCCTCGACGTGCAGCAGGGACCTCCAGGAGGCATTTGAAATGGCGAATAATAACCGAGAGAAAACACATCTGTGAAATCGTCAAAACATTGACATTGAATGTAAATCCGTTCAAAAGTGGATGTGGAAATGCTCACTCAATCTGCTCTCCTCTCCTATTAGAGACGGCAGACATCCTGTCCTGGGTCTCGAGTGAGCCCCATTCTCCTCTGGGGGATCCTTTGTGACAGAAGTCGCTGTGCACATCCCAAGTTCCAGACGCGCTTCCCGCAGAGCCTGTGCCTACATTGCCTCCTTGCTTGGATCTCTCAGCAACTCAGAAGATAATTGCTCTGCTCGATCTCACACACAGCGTCCTTGCCCCTTAGTGGAAACTTTCCACTTCGCCATCCTTTCCGTCATATTCCCAATGGATTGGCATGCAGCAGGCTTCCTTGACTTCGGGATGTTGGTTTCATGTGGCAGGGTTCCCCAGCTCTTTCTTCTTCCTCAAAGATGTCCCACGGGTCCACATCTTGAAGGGCTGTGAGTCTGGGTGGGTGCCCAGCAGGCTGCACAATCCTCATATAACAGCTGAATTTCCTGGGGATAATTCAGGGCTGGTCACTCGTGGTTCTCCCTCAGCATTGCCTCTCACACCCCCCGGTGAAGAAAGTGCGCGTGCATGTGTGTGTGCACTTGTAGGAGAAGTAAAGGGAGATGCTTATGAGCATGTGGATACACAGGAAGAAATAAGAAAAGCTCTCAGAAATTAAAAAGGAGAAAGGACCCACGGGACGGCTTTTAAAATTGAGTTCAGCTTGGGGCACCTGGGTGGCTCACTCAAGTTAAGTGTCTGACTTCAGCTCAGGTCATGATCTTGTGGTTCGCCAGTTCGAGCCCCCTGTCGCGTTCTGTGCTGACAGCTCAGAGCCTGGAGCCTGCTTTGGATTCTGTGTCTTCCTCTCTCTCTGCCCCTCCCCCACCCATGCTCTCTCTCTCTCTCTCTCTCTCTCTCTCTCTCTCTCCCTCTCTCTCAAAAATAAACATTTAAAAAAAACCTTTTAAATTGAAAAAAACAAAATAAAATTGAGTTCAGCTTAATGAGTGATTAGAAGCTTTGAAGAAAGGTGGAGCGCCTGGGTGGCTCAGTCGGTTAAGCGTCCAACCCTTGGTTTCACCTCAGGTCGTGATCTCGCAGCTCGTGGGGTCAAGTCCTGAGTCGGGCTCTGCGCTGGCAGCATGGAGCCTGCTTGGGATTCTCTCTCTCCCTTTCTCTTTGTCCCTTACCCACTTACACACACACACACACACACACACACACACACACTCAAAATAAAGAAATAAACGTTAAAAAGAGAAGAAGAAAGGTAAGCTCTAATGATAACAAGATTAAAATGCCTTAAGTCACAGGGCAAAGAGTAGACATGACCAAGGAAAGTGTGACAGGAGTAAGCGTGGAGTCCTGTACTTGGATCCAAGAAATTAACACAATACAAAACTGAGTATGTAAACAAAGTGGGCGTAGCTGAACTCAATCTCAACTGAGTATAAACTCAGTATCAATAGCCCTTCAACAGAATTCATGTGGCCATGAATACATTAATAAGGTGACCGTATGTAGAATAAAGATGGCCGAGGTCCCTCCACCTTGTGTCTGCCTTCTCTGTAGGGTACCAGGAATCCAAGGAGATGGGGGTGACGCCCAAACCCGCCTACCAAGCAGAGGGAAGAGAGAAGCGAAATAGAAGAGAACAAGTCTAGGGTTCAGCAGCCGCCAAGCCGGGGGCCAAACCAACAGTGAAGCCTCGGAGGTTGAGAAAATTCAGGTGGAGATGGGCTGAACGTCCCCACCCGTGTTAGCTGCTGCTGCTAATTGTTTGCCAGGATCTGGGGCTCGGAGGTCCGGGGACAAACACATTCTACTCTGAAGGTCAAGACCATGCCAGGGCACCATGGCGGTTGTTGAGACACACTTTATAAAGACCTTTACTGGGGCGCATCTCAAGTAAAGCAACTGGACGGTGGGGGCACATGGAACGAGGACTGTAGCCTGGAAGAGACGAGTTCAAACAAGGGCACACGGGACACATGGACGTTGTCTTTAACGTGTGAAGAGCTGTCTTCTGGAGGGGCAATTTTGTCCTGTTTGATGAGTCACCAACAGGAGTTATACAAACATAGAGTTCACATAAAGAACTGACGGCCAGTGGACGAGAAATGAGCGAAAACAGTTTCAACCCAAGGAGATAGGTGTTACAGTATGTTATACTGCATGGGACCTGGTCCTCCCCCTCTCCAGGGGGTGTGTGTAGACAGAGTCGTTGGAGCCTCTGTCCCAGCTCTTCTCTAAACACTGTAAGGCCTTGGGCACATCATTTACATCTCCTGTCACGCTGTGTGTCCGGGTCATCGGGAAGGATGTATCTAAAAGTGGTCCACACGTATCTAGACACTACAACGCAGGTATTGTTATCTGACTATGGAATCATGGGCAGTTGTACCGATTAACTTAAATTTAAGGTCCCTTTCAATCTCCAGAGTCTATGATTTACAAGACAGGGCAAAGTTACACTGCAGCCCCCACAGGGAGAATTATGACATATTCCAAGATATGGAATTAAACAGTCCCCGTGCGTGTGTCTTTTCCGTTACCAGCTGCTCGCCACGCACGGATGCTGGATCCCGGCAGTGTGGCCACTTCTGGTAACAAGAGGACTTACAACAGTCATCGATTCTCAGACTTACTCACAAAAAGACAGGCAAGGGGCGTTCAAGAGTCCTCTGGCTACCCCAGTGACTCCAGTCCCCCATCCCTCAAAGGCTCCAGAGTCTCGAAAGCTTCACTGGCCTTGGTACACGTCCCACACTCCCACGCTCCTCCGCATCTGCCCCACCCCACCCCGAAGGTAAAGGATTGGTAGGTTCTGGAAAGCCCTGACCAAGCTGTACAACTGACTGATGCCTTGATTTCTTCCTCTCTAAAAGGAGGTGAATACCTCTCCCCTCCCCCCTCCTTGGGTTGTTATGGGGATCAAATAATTCAATAAATAAAACGTTTTCTAATTTAAATAATCATTTAAGAACTTCCAAAACCCCATATTCCATGGCCCTGTACCAAAGCATTTCCCAAACATTAACTTCTGATTCTCAAAAGTCTCTATGATGTCTCATTTTACATATTAACTTGACTGGACCACGGTGTGCCCAGATACGTGGCCAAACATTATTCTGGGTGTGGCCGTGAGAGTGTTTTGGATGAGTTTAACATTTAAATCAGTAGGACAGAGTAAAGTAGATCTCCCTCCCCAGTGTGGATGGGCCTTGTCTAATCAGTAGAAGGCATGAATAGAACAAAAAATCTGACCCACTCCCAAGGAAGAGGGAGTTCTTCCCGCCTGACCGCGTTTAAATGGAGACATCAGCCCTTTGTCGTTTTCACATTTGAACTGAAACATCACCTCTTCCCAGGTCTTGAGCCAGCAGGCCTTTGGACTAGATCCAAACCATTGGCTTTTCTGGGTCTCTAGCTGCTAACTCATCCTGCAGATCTTGGGACTTGTCAGCTTCCGTAATTATGTGATCCAGTTCCTTATAATAACCACATTGTGTGTGTGTGTGTGTGTGTGTGTGTATTCATATACACGTCCTACTAGTTCTATTATTATGAAAACACTCTCCTATTAAAATAGTGTTGCCCCATTTGACACAGAAACAGATGTGCAGGTTACACAGTACTTGTAAAGAGTAGCACCGGGATTTAGATGGAGCTCTAACTCCAAATGCTGTGTTCTCTACCATAGGTTATACTGCTTCCTTCTTCTGCCCATTATGATCCCCCTTGGACAAAGCCAGGAAGGATCTTTGGAGAAAGGAGGGCGAACAGAATAAGCCCCGCATCCCTCAGAAGCAAACTTCCTGGGGCGCCTGGGTGGCTCAGTCGGTAAAGCATCTGCCTTGGGCTCAGGTCTCTGGGCAGACAGCTCAGAGCCTGCTTAGGATTCTCTCTCTTCTCTCTCTCTCAGCCTCTACCCTGCTTGCACTCTCTTTTCAAAATAAATAAACTTAAAAAAACTATTTAAAAAAATTTTACAAGAAGAGGTAAAGTTCCTGTGTCTTCAGGAACCCAGCAGAGAAACTGAGGCAGGCGGGAGCGTGATCGTAACCCATGAACTGCTGCGAAAGGCACACGCAGGCGCCGTGCGCCTTCAGCTGGAGGCAGGCGGCTGTCAGGACGGTCAGACACCGCCCTGACGGCTGTAAAGGCTGGAAGAATGTGGCTGCACTGATGCGTATCTGCTGGAAGTTTCCCCGGAGATCCACACACTCCATCGGCGTGCCTCAGCCCAAGTCATCCACAGATTGTCATCAAGATGCAAATCTGCTTGCAAAGAGATTTTCGCGGAGTTTAATTCCACGAAGAAAACACCGCTGCTTGTTAACGTGAAAGAGAGATACCTAAAGTAGTGACAAAGGCTGCATGCTGGGCAGTCCCCCAGAACCTGGCCTGCTGTCCCCTAAGTCAGCACAGATGGTCTATTACTTTGGAAATATCATAAG